ATTGTTAGAGTGTTGATGTTGGTTGTGTGCTATGTAAATTGTGAACTGTTAGGTTGGACTGATTTTTATGCAGGTTGTAGTTGTGGAGGTTCGGTTGGGGTGGTAGGAGTACATGTATTCTATTCCCTTAGCTTGTGTTTAGAAGTTTACTTGCGGAGTACCGTGTGGTTTGGTACTCACCCCTTGCTTCTACAATTTTGTAGGTTACTTGTCCGGACCTTCGTGATATTTTCTCTTCTCCTTGTCTGAGGCTTCTTATGGAGGTTTGTGAGGTAGCTGCTTGTCGTTTCAGCGGAGCTTCTTACTCATATTTATGATCTTGTTCTATTCTAGAAACAATGTCATTTGAGACTTGTGTTTTTCGTTTGAATCAATTATAATACTTTAGAGGCTTGTACACGTGACAACCAGATTTTGGGGTTTTTATTAAGTTGACTTAGTTATCCGCACTTATTGTATTTTGAGATTTCAATTTATCGTACTTCTGCATTTCTGTGATATTTGGTTTTAGGCTGACTTATCTTGGTGGGATAAGACGAGTGTCATCACGTTCATTTTTGGGTCGTGACAACATGTCTTCTTGTTGTGTCCCTCCCGATGACATGTATTGCATGCTATTTTAGACCATTTGAATTTCACATCAGCTAGCCCTTCCAGAATTGTATACAACTTTTATACAATTCTTCTTCACACATTTCATACATATTTTTACTCAAAAGTCATCAATTATTCATACTAGTATCATGCCAATAGAATAACAAAATAAATTCAACTTATAAAGATTAATTGTAATATCTTATATTAACAGTATACCAAATTCATTACATTATTATTATTATTATTATTATTATTATTATTATTATTATTATTATTATTATTATTATTATTATTATTATTAAATTACATTCCATTATAATGCCAAAAAAATCCATTCAAACCATAAATCATACCATAAAACATTATAATTTGGAATTAATAGTATTAAGTCATCGACGGCCACTTAAAGTTATCCGTATAATTACTTGAACACCTCAATTAAGGTTTGTACCTATTGAACACCTCTACCACTTCGAATTGATACCTCTTCGACATTTTTTGGACAATCAAACAAAAATATGATGTGTGTGAAATACATTCGCAATGACATGGCACAACGACGAATTAAATTGTGACATATGTCATTTGGATTCAAAAAATATAAAAATATATTATAAGAAAATAATTTTAAAGTAAAAAAAAAAAAAGCAACAATGAACTCTACACAACCCACCCACCCACCCCAGAACATTTCCGATAGCGACCAGTCCGCCGACCAGCCACCTCAGTGCGTCCCCCACATAGTGATTAGGAAAATCAACACCATATTTACTACCTACCCTCTCCCTTCTATCCCGATTTGGTGATTTCCATCAACACCATAGCTGCCATTTCTCCAATTTCATTGTCTTCCTCAAACATCAATTAAGATTTGTTGATATTTTTTATGTTGTGAGTTTTTTAGGGCTTGAATTTTTTAACAATTTCAAAGGAAATAATTTTAGATACGAAGTAATCTTGCCGAAAAAAAATGGAGGTTCACCGGATTTTTTTTACCAATTTGATTTTTATTCTTTTTGATTAATTCCCTCCTACATATTCAACTATTTGAATTTTTCTACATTTTATAATGTTAGAATTTTTTGAATTGTTTTTAATTTTGACTGCTATTTATTTAATGAGAACTTTTCCGACTAAGATAACAAAGACGATATTGGTGAGGGTGGAATGATAGTAGAAAGGAAAAATGAAGGAGAATATAGAAAGGGTGCGTGGCAGGGGAAGGTGGCAAAACGATTTAGCTGGTGACTGGTGAGGAGGAAATGCAGTAAGGTGGTTTGGAATTGGGGAAGCAGACATGTTTTAGGAAATTTTTTTTTTAATGTTGAAATGTTTGCTTTACTTTTTGAATGTTGACGTGTTATTTTATGATTGGTCTGTAAGTTTTTTTGTTTCATGCGCTTCTCAGAGGTGTATTACACCTATGATGCCATGTCATCAAAACCTATTCAATAGGTACATGTTTTGAACAAGACAGTTATTCAATAGGTACAACTCTTAATTGAGGTGTCTAAGTGAAATATGCGGACAACTTTAGGTGGCCATGAATGACTTAAGCCTAAAAAAAATTATATAATTTTTTTAACCAACAAACATACCAAATAATAATGGAGTACCAAATTATAACATTATTCATTTATTTATTTTAAAATGCCAGAATGGAGTATACACATTTCATACATTTTTTTGGCACACTTTTCATACATATTTCATATTAACATTATAACTATTTCATCCCATAAGTCGTAATTTTTTCACAGCAGAATCATGCCAATATAATACAAAACTAATACTAATTTTAACAATTACTTGTCTTTAATTAGGTAAACAGTATACGAAATTCATTCCAATATAATTTCAAAATCTTACAAAAATGGTATAACCAGTATACCATTTACAAATAAATTTTATGTATTTTTTTTTTTTACTAAAAACCTTAAATTTTAAAAAAATTCATACCAAAATCTGTACCAATTTAAAACAAATTTTATGTAATTTTAAAAAAAAGAATGTTCATATCAAAAACGTCATAATTAAATTTTATTATACACAAAAAAATTTGATAATTTTATTTCCAGTATCACTGTTCTTAATTATTTTTTTTACGTTTGATTAGTATAACAATACAAATAAAAAATCGTAAAAAAAAAACACTATCCTGAAGGATCGTATCTACCACCATCAGTGGCGGAAGGAGGATTTTCATCAAGAGGGTTCAAAAAAATTAATCACGTAAATAATATCCACAAATAAACGGGTTGAATCGGATATAAACGGGTCGGATTAAACGGATCGAATCAAGAAGAAAAGGGTTTTTTAATATTTGACTTTGTAATTAGGGATTAAATTAATAAATCCTAAATTCCCAATCATCGTTTTAATTTTTTGGAACTAAACATCGTTTTCTGATTGCATTTTAATTTATTTTTTTTAAATTAAAACGCCTAAAATATAAGCTGATAGAAAAAAGCCTTTGCCCGGATTCGAACACGCGACCTCGCGTGCAGTAGAGCAAATTCCTGAATCCCCAACGCCACTGAGCTACGCCTTTGGTGTATATTCAGGGGGTTCAATAGTATATATATACACGTAAATTAATATTTTAATTTTTATATATATAGTGTAATTTTTTGACGAAGGGGGTTCGGACACCCCCTTGGTTCAACGTAAATCCGCCCCTGACCACCATACTTTATTAATATTGATAAGAAGCCGTCCACTACAAGTAAATGAAGATTATTGAATAAAAATGATTTAGAACTAGTTGAGAGTGACAACTAATTACAGAAAAAATTGTGAAGAGAGAGAAACGTTTGAACAAAAGAAAAAAAAAAGCTATTTTTGAATGAAATTTAACTGCATTGAGTTAAAAAAGGAAAACAAATATTCCTTTTTTTTATGAATCTCCTAGTTTTATGGCACATTCTAATTATCATTAATGAATTCAAATTAATTATTAATAATTTATCCGATTTTACCTTATTTATTTTTCAAATAAAATGATTTTTACTGTTATTTTAAATCATTTTTTATTTAAATAAAATGTTAGAACCTACAATTTTTTATTGTTATAACTTGAAATAAAAAGAATAATGTCATAACTTATAATTATTAGTCATACACAGTGTTTTTAAAAATGATTTTGGGGCGAGTCCCAGGGCAAGGCGTACAAAAAACACTTCGAGGCGTAAATTAAAGACGTAGATCCATAAGTCGTAAGTCCTAAAATTTGAGGCGTAAGTCCCGAGCATAAAAACGTAAGTCCTGGGAGTAAAAACGTACGCCCGGGCGTTTTTAATTTATTTTTTTGAACCTTTTTTTGCTTTAAATCATATTTTTATTATTGGTATAATGATATTTCTCAACTAGTAATTCTAATACTCTTTTTCTTCATTATTGATTATTAATACTTATCTCAAATAAAAACCATAAATCATTGAAAGGTTTACTTTTGCTTATTTTATTAGTAATAAAACTATAAAATTATATATATATTCATGGTAATAGCATAAAATGAAAAATATTCAATATCATTTACACTTAGTAAGAAGAAGAGAATGGAAACATCGCATAGCTCTACACAACCTGGATAAATCTATACAAAATTTAGAGAAAGCTTTTTTATCGATAAGCCGAAAATCTATAAAATTGATTGTAGCAATCCATGAGATAAAAATGATAAGAATACAAGAGTATTTTGAATACATAAATGCAAAAGGTATTTTAAAAAGAAATGACCTTTATACAACATAAAAAATGCTTAATGCATATAAATTTCGCATACCATGTATTAAGATACATCACAACCCCCTTCTTGATTTGGTATAAGCTAAGTTGCCTTCAACTATACCAAGTCATTTCTTTAGGCATTTTTATACCATTGGAATGAAGCAAGTTTTGTTCTTGTAACTTAGCTCTATACATATTTCTGAAAATATTTTCAGATGGGTTAAATATTCTTGATATGTATTAGAACATATTAATATATCATCTATATATATATACACACATGAGACTACACCTCGTAGATCCATCGGATTTACGCCTCGTGTCTCGGGACTTACGCCTCGCCCTATATGGTATAAAATGTCTCGCCTCACACACCCACCTTTTAAAACACTGATCATGCATATGTCAATTATAAAATTTTCAGTTAAGTTAATTGTTGAGACTTTTCTTTTTTTGTTTTATTGAGATTCTTTATTATTTTACATTTTCTAAAAAAATAATTAAAATAATAATAGTAAAAGATATTATTTAATTTTTGTTCTTAAATATAATTGGGTCTAAATAAAATTGTGTCACTTAAATGAGTTACTTATTCATTACACCCAATTATCTGACCAAATAATTATATAAGTTACGCTCAATTAAACCAAATTCAATTACATATCCAAAATTGGTCATGGAAGGATGGAATTCTCCATATATGTCTAGCACCTTTATATGCAAGCTCTCATATGGGAAACTTTGTGTCGATGTGGCACGTACCTGGCGCTTACGTGGTGCGATGATATGGCGGGTCATTGCAAAAAGCGCATAAGTTTGCTGCAAAATTAGGTCACATGAGCTGAAAATTTTTGAGTGAGAGAGATTCGTTTGGCATTGGAGATGAGGAGATTTTGTCTGCGCAATGGTATTCGTTCTCTCTCTTTGTCTCCTAATTCTCATTCTTGTTTTACGGCAATTACAGTGAGAATTTATAGTAATAAATCCATTTCTGCAATGGATAAATTTGATTTTGGGGTTAACATCAACTGTTTAGATGATGCTGTGATTCTCTTTAAGCAAATGGTTACAATGAAGCGTCTTCCTTCTCTTGTTGACTTCTCTAAATTATTTAAGACTATGATAAATATGAAGCATTATTCTGCTGTCCTTTCTCTTTTTCGAGAAATGCAGAAATTGGGTATCCCAATTGATGGAGTCATCTTAAATATTGTCATTAATAGTTATTGCCTGATGCATCGTGTTGATTGTGCATTTTCGGTGTTACCCATTTACCTCAAGAATGGTATTCCGTTTAATGTTGTCACCTTTAACACCCTATTAAGGGGAATCTTTGCTGAAAATAAGGTCAAAGATGCAGTTGAATTGTTCAAAAAGTTGGTGCGAGAAAAGATTTGTGAACCTGATGAAGTCATGTATGCAACCGTCATGAATGGGCTTAGTAAAAGGGGTCATACGGAGAAGACTTTAAGTTTGCTCCGGTTAATGGAACAAGGGAACACTAAGCCCAACATAATTAACTACAACATCATCATAGATGCCCTTTGTAAAGATGGAAACTTAGATGCTGCTATCGATCTTATGAATGAGATGAAGCAGAAAGATATTCCTCCAAACATAGTTACATATAACTCAATAATTGATGGTATGTGTAAGCTTGGTGAATGGGAAAAGTGTAAGACTTTGTTCTCTGAGATGGTAAACCTTAATATTTATCCAAATGTACGCACCTTCAACATACTAACAGATGGACTATGCAAAGAAGGGAAAGTCGAAGATGCCAAGGAAGTAATGGGATACATGATTGAAAAAGGTATAGAGCCTGATATAATCACCTACAATGCAATAATGTATGGATATTGTTTGAGTGGTCAACTTGATGGAGCGAGGAAACTTTTTGATTTCATGATAAATAAGTGCATTGAGCCTAACATTGTTAGCTATAACATACTAATAAATGGATACTGTAAGAAAAAGAAATTGGCTAAAGCCATGCAATTGTTTTGTGAAATTTCTCAAAAGGGACCAAAGCCTACTACTTTTATCTACAATACTATCTTGCAAGGTCTGTTTGATGTCGGGAGAATTGGATCTGCTAAAAATATCTATGCTGAGATGCTATCTGCAAGGTGTATTCCTGATTTGTACACTCACGGCACTTTGCTCAATGGTTATTTTAAGTATGGACTTGTTGAAGAAGCTATTTCACTCTTTAATAAGTTGGAAAAACAGGGAGAAAATACTGATATTGAATTTTACAATGTTGTCATTAATGGATTGTGCAAAAATGGTAAACTCGACAAAGCTCGTGCTCTTTTTGAGAAGCTTTCTTCAATGGGATTGCTTCCGAATGTGAGAACATACACTACAATGATAACTGGATTTTGTCTACAAGGATTAGTAGATGAAGCTAAAGATATGCTTAGGAAAATGGAGGGCAACAATTGTTTTCCAGACAATGTCACCTACAATGTTATGGTGCAAGGATTCCTCAGGTGCAGCAGAATTAGTGAAATGACAACTTTCACGAAGGAAATGACCGGAAGAGGCTTCTCATTTGATGCATCTACAACTGAGTTGTTGGTAAACATTATAATGGAGAATCCTTTTGTCCTTGACATGATACCCGAGCTTCACTTGAAAAATAAGAAGTGAATATTTCTTTCGCTTGGTTTATTCGGCTATGCTATCACTGTGATACAATTTCCCTTTTATCCATGCAAAAGAAATGGCATACTATGCAATTGCAGAAGCTGATCGCACTTAGGATGCTGCTTGAGATTTTTAGGCAGGCCTATTGAGGAGGTAATTAAATATTTTGAGTTTTTTTTTTCAGTCTTTGTTTTCTTAGAAATCAGATGTTATTGCACTCTTAATTTGATTTTCCCAAAAAGGAGTAGTGGTGAGTTTCCTTGTGTGTACACATTATAAGTCTGTTAATATCACTTTAAGTGCTATTTAGTTATCTTCAGTTATTCTTTTTATTGTTGTCTTCAAGTATTATCATTTTCTATCTATTTTTTTTAATCGATGACAACTGTCTTTAACTTAAAAATTGCTACATCATCCATAAATGGAACACCAGAGCTGACATCCTGAAATTGAAATAAAACTTGTTAACATCTGATAGGATATACCATAGATGAATGGTCAACATCATTTTCAAATTATTTAAGACCATACTTTTGGAAGTTTATATATGATCCAAGAGTGCTGGATGCTTATTAGGAATTGACATCTTCATACAATAGTAATATTGTCAAAGGAAAGTTCATTGGTCCTGTGAAGGACCTATTTAACTGGGAATTTGAAAATGTAAATGAATTGCTGCTGAAATTGGAGGCTATCTCTCTCAATGAACAGGTTGCTTTTGCTTACTCACTGTGGTGGAAGTTTCAGAAAGATGGCAAGTTTATTGTCAAAGTATGTTATAGAAATCTTTTGGGGAATATGGGAAGCATTCAAAAGGACTGGCCATGGAGAACAATTTGGAAGACAATTGCACCCCTGGAAGCCACCTGTTTCATTTGGATTGCTACTCCCGAAGCTTGTTCTGTGCAGCAGCCAGCAGATGTTTTGTGTGAAAGTGCTCATGAATTAGTAAATAATCTTCTGCTTCACTGCACCTTCACTAGACAGATCTGGACAATGTTTCGTGCTATTTTTGGTGTTCAACAGGTCATGTCAGGATGCATTAAACTTGCACTAAGCAGCTGGAATGAGCAGCTTCACAAAGGGACAATGAACACTATGCAATTGCTATTCCTTCCTTCATTTTCTAGTTTATTTGGATGGAGAGGAATTGTAGATATTTCAATGACAAGAGAAGCTAGAAAAAAGGTATGGCGAGACTGGATCACCTTGCCTTAGACCCGTCTGAGCAGGGAATATTTTTTTCCGGAGTACCATTAATAATGATAGATACTCTTAACAGCAGTGATAGAATACTTTTATCCATTACAATACTTTGACAGAGTAAGCTGGGAATTCTTTTTTGACAATTATGTAATCTGAGAATTCTTGTTCAGTGTAATGGCTTCTTTGGGATATGGAGCCAAAAATTATACTCTGAAACGTCCCATAACTCATGGTAGTATCAAAGGGTTTCAAAATGCTTTTTTATGTGTATAGAAATTCAAGAAATGTTTTTTCACTGATGAGAGTGAGATCTTTCTTCCTTGATTACACTCTGGAACTGTTTTATTTGGTTTCTCTATTTACCCCAGGATGATAGCTAGGATTGAATCTTGAAGAATGAAATGGGTCCTAACTGGTTTGGGATTGACATGTAATAGTTGTTATTGTACTATTTGATTGTTGAAACAAAATTATGAGAACACAGTGAGATCCATGGGTTTCAGGACAGAACTACCTCTACGGAAGATTTCTTCCGATGACTGACATTTAGGGCACCCTTTTGATTTTTTGTTTTCTCATGATTTCTATAAAGGAAAAAAAATAAAGAAGGAAAATTCAGCAATCTAAGAACTTAAAAGATGCAAGAACAAGCAATCTACTCCTACGTGTATGAGGGTTGTTTTCTTTTGCTTCCCTGGTAAATCCAATATCTGTATTGACTGAATGGTTCTTATATCATTTACTGGAATAATTAGAGAATGAGGTATCAATCACTTCTAAAAGATATTAGTTTCTTCTTGACTGGCTTTTAGAGTTGGCAATGCGGCCTCTTGCTTTTCTGTACTAGTTTTTGAATTTTGAAATTGTTCCTGATCATGTCTGCATGTGTAGCCTTCTAATTTTTTGAGAAGGTAACATTTTTTGTATAACTATTTGCTGCACAAAAACTAGTAACTACAGTTGTCCATACTTACAAGGGAATATAGCAAGATGTACTAAAACATCAATAAAAGATTCTATGTCCTCCATATATTCATGTTTACACCCAAAATAGAAAAGGGCATGGCACTTCATCTTCAGTTTCTGGATAGAGCTAAGATTTTCTTCAAAACACATTTGATTTCTCTCTTTCCAAACTGTCCACCAAATGCAAGCAGGGATAATCTTCCATCTTTCCTTCCGTTTTGACTGAGTACTACATTTGTTTCAGCACTCCAACACTTCAAGTGTATCTCTTGGCATCACCCACATGATCCCTTTTAAATTAAGGAAAATCCTCCAAAGTTGTCCAGTTAACTTGCAGTGTAAAAAAAGATGGTTGGTTGTCTCTGATTCTTCTCCACACCTCACTGACACGCATATAACATTTAGAGCATAGGTGGAAGCCCCTGTTCTTAAGTCCTTCATGAGATAGGACCACTTTCCTGGCATTGAGCCAAGTGAAACAAACCACTTTGTGAGGAATTTTGACATTCCAGATTAGTTTCCAACTTTCCATGACCAACAACTAATCTGGTTGTTAGAATGATTGAATTCCTTGTAAGCTGACTTGACTGAAAATCTCCCTTGTTTATTCACTTGCCATATAAGATTGTCTTCCTGAGAGAAGGAGCCTTTGAATAGATTGAGAGTGCTATAGAATTCTGCCAAGTTATCAATCTCCCAATCATTAAGGTGTCTTCTGAAGCTTGGATTCCAGCCATGAGCATCCCAGACTTCTCCTATAGTGGCATCTTCTTATTGATTCAGGCTGAAGATAATCGGGAAGAGTTGCTTTAGTGGATGTTGACCTAACTAGCTGTCTGAACAGAAAGATGTTTTCAATCTGTTACCCACTTGATGACTGCACTTATGAATGATTTTTGCCCCCAAATTTCTGATTGACCTCCATAAACTGACTCCAGTGGGTGTAGTGACTGATATGGTTGTCCATTCTCCATTCATTTCATACTTTTGAGTAATTACCTTCTTCCAGAGAGATTGTTCATTTGAGGCAAACCTCCATAACCATTTCTTCAAAAGACTATGGTTCTGAGTTATCAGGTTCTTGATTCCCTTACCAGTTACCGCCATACTTCTTGCTGATGATCATGGACTTCCATTTGACCAAATGTGTCTTCCTGGTATCAAGTTGCCTTGCCAGAGTAAGTTCCTTCTAAGAGCATCTATTCTATCCATCACGTTTGTTGGAACACGAAAAATGGACATCATATAAGTTGGTAATGCATCCAACGCACTGTTAATCAAGGTTAGTCTACCACCCAAGGATAAGTATTGACTCTTTGGAATTGCTTTTGGCACCGAGGGGCATGCCAAGGTAAATGGTTGGCAGCACACCTGTTCTTCCTCCCAGAATGTTAGCCAAGTTGATTCATGATTGTAATGAAGTACACTTAAAGTGTATGAATTTTCATTCTAATATTTTCTTGTTGCATTGTCTTGCTTTGACTTGGCTGTGTGAGTGACTCATTATTAAATAAAGCTACTTGGGAGTCTTGACATAAAATTTAAACCTGGAACATTATTGGTATTCAGTGTCAATGTCATGATTCCCTCAGTTTTAGTAGTCTCTTTATACGACTCTGTATTTGTGCTCTCGGGAATGAATACACAGACAATTGCCAGGCTGAAAGGTTTTGAATCTCCATTTTCTACTGACAAGTGTTTGCAGGATGACTTACTAGTGTTACCGATCAAATGAACAAATAGTGGTTTTCTTTTATATGCAATTTACTAACAATGACTTCTGTACTTTCTTCTCGTTCTTCTCCGCCCCTCTTTTCTCCTCCTCTCTAACATTAACTCTCTTGAACTCATCTCAGGAAAATCATAGTACGGGGTAGAGCATCCAAGTCAGTTGGGAACGTCATGACAGAGGAGGTAAACTTAATAGCCTCGTCTCATAAAAGAAATGAGCAGGATTGAAATATGTTTCCTGTCAAATTTCATTCTAGTAGCTAAATCTACGTGACATTTTATAACATTATATCAAATTTGTACATCTGGATTTGCAAACAAGCTTATCACGGTCACACCAAAAACTAAAGTTTTGTTAGTGACACAACTTATGAAAGGTGGTATATTTCTGCTTCATATCTCAAACTTCAAGCCCTTTATTTATTGTATTTGCATCCAACACAAGAAGAATCGCTTAAATACTTTGCAACATGTTGAGAATATTTGTTTTTACTGGTTTGTTGAGAAGCGGAAGTCCCGTATTGGTTGAGAAAAGTTTCTTTTTGAAGGTTTAGATATGGAAGTCCGTCAAGTATCATTGAATAAGCAAGTGACATATTTAATAAACAGGTGTATGTGTAATGACTTGGACTTGTACTTGGGGTGCAGGGCGTGCTGGCTTGACCAGACATTCAAATAAAAGGCTATTTTCATTTTGGATTTATTTTTTCATTTACCATATCATATTTTAGTTTCATTTAAAACTTAATTGTATGTTTAGAAAATGCTAACTGAGATAACTGTTCCTGAATAAGACACTTTTCTGAATAGCCATCTTCAACCTCTATTAATTGTATCTCCCTTGCAAGTGACTTGTCAATTTGCAGTATACATTTTGGCTCACGAAGAAACTTATCTATGTTCCCATAGATGGTATACATGTGATATTTCTTTAGGAACAACGATTTTTCACGTTTCAAAACTCTCTCTCAATTCTGTCTTCCTATTTTTCTAACACAGTATGTCAAAACTTATCTATGCACCTTCCTCTTGTTGATCAGGTTGATATGATAGGTCTGGTATCCATTGGAGATATTGTCTGCGCTGTTGTAAGTGGGCATAGGGATGAGTTAAGCCGTTAAATGCCTATATACAAGGAGGTTATTGAATGATAATTGACATATTCTTCCAGTGGCTATGTATATCTGGAATATGCTCCTCAGTGTTTTTTTTATTTGAAGTGGACTATCTCGTTCACTATCTGATATGCCTATGTGAGTTGGAACTCACAAAACCATCAGGAAAATCTGGAAGATAGCCCCTGCAAGCGTTTTCGGGTGCATTTGGACGAAAAGAAACCAGAGATGTTTGCATGGGTTATCAACTTCAAACTGCTCCTAGAAGGCTAGATTTTTGGTTAACATTTTTTGTTGGGCTAAACTTTCCCCTGTAAATCATTCCGACATCTATTTGAACTTTGTCAGTTCTCTAGTTTTGTAAATGAGCTGACAAACTATCTCTTTGCATCTTCTTGATGCTTTTTATGATGATATCCTGCTTCATCAAAATAAGATATTGACATATTCTTAACTGCCTTTTCGTCTCAATTTTTTTCCCAACATAGTGAGAAATGATCCGGTCGATGTTCCTAGGTAGTAGTTGTTCTTTAGTCTTTTGAACACTGCAACATGTTTGTAACAGCCTTCCACAATTGACTTTTTTTCTTTTTTTGTAACATATCTGCATTGTGAAGGGGAGCCTCGTTGCTGCGACATGACTGGGAGGTGATGGGTTGAAGCCACGGAATGATCTCGAAATGCAAGGTAGGGTTGTCCACGTTAAACCCTTTTATTTTCTGGCCCTTTCCTTGATCCCAAGCATAGTGAGAGCTTAGTGCATCGAGTTCTCAAATACCCCTTTGTTCTATCTGTCATGCTCCTCTAGTATTGAAATGGCATTACCATTACTGGAAACTATACCATTTGATATTGAGAGACTAAACATGTGTAATCTTGATAGACATTACATTGCTAAGATTATCGTGCTACTTTCAAATGTTTGGGAGGAAGTAGAGAAACCAAATAAAACAGTTCCAGAGTGTAATCAAGAGCTCAACTCTCATCAGTGAAAAACTATTTCTTGAATTCCTATACACAAAAGAAAGAAAGCATTTTGAAGCCCTTAGACGAGTCATGGGTTATTTCAGAGTATAATTTTTGGCTCCATATCCCAACGGTGATCCAGTCTCGCCATACCTTTTTATTCTTGCTTCTCTTGTTGTTGAAACGTCTAAACATTCCTCTCCATTAAAATAGACCAGAAAATGCAGGAAGGAACAGCAATTGTGTAGTGAAGCTGCTTAGTGTACGTTTAATGCATCCTGGCATGATCCATTGGGCACCAAAAATAACATGAAACATTGTCCAGAACTGTTTACTGATGGTGCAGTGAAGCGGTGGATGATTTACTGTTTCATTGGCACTTGCACACAAAAAGCATCTGCTGCACAGAACAAGCTTCAGGAGTAGCGATCCAAGTGAAACATGTCGCCCTCAGGGATGCAATTGTCTTCCAAACTGTTCTCCATGGCCAGTCCTTGTGAATGCCTCCCATATTCCCGAAAAAATAATTATAACATACTTCGACAATAAACTTGCCGTCTTTCTGAATTTTCCACCACAGTGAGTCACAGACCTGATCATTGAGAGATATAGCCTCCAATTTCACGTCTTCAAATTCCCAATTAACTCCAAAGAGTGAAAAGACTCCAACAAAAAGCGAGAATTGCAATGGTCTATTATTTCCCTGGAATGAAAAACATTAGACAAATGATAAGTAGCCAAAGAACAAGTTTAAACTTGTAGCTCTATACCCACATTAGTCATAACTCATAATAGCTACTAACCTTAATAGCGCCTTTACTAGCAAATAATGGTAGTTTTTATGTCATTTGGTGACAATTTAAGGCACTTCTTTTGAAAAATAATAAAAAAGGTAAGGCTTTGTAATGGAAGAACGATTCATCTTCCAGTGGAACACAAACAATAAGAAAATAGTAATGAAATCCTGAGCTCAAGAGGAAGATAATTATTTCAATCTTAAACAAGGCACAAAAGAGAATACGCATAAAAGCTTAGATACGAACTTAGTATCTGAAAGGACACAGCAGTTCATAAGATAACTTACATGACAAGTCCTATGCAGAATTCATACTGAAAAATCAGAATTCGTTTAGAAACAAAACTGTAAACTAGTCTTCTTTAACTTAGTAAAATAATAATAATTATTAGTATAAGAAACGAAAATACGTCCCAATATCACTAGGTTTTTTTTCTTTTTCTGAAGATCATTGCATACCTTACAGTGACTACAAGCATAGTGCAAGGTTTCCTATGTGATTATTCAATATTCTGCTGTGCCCATCTCACTAATTAAAGTAAATTACCGCCAATATAACACAATGTTGAAGTATAAGATTAGACACAAAACCCCTTTTCCGCATATCCTTGAAATAACATGTAAGGAATACATTAAAAAGTTATTGAAACAATTACAGTAGAGAATTGCATAAAAATTTCTACATCTTCAAAAGAAATCCCTTCCCTCCATCTCCTACGTTGGTTGAAAATGGCAATAAAATTGTACATACCATTACTTTGGTAGTAAAATTCTTCTTTATTTACCCCTCAAATCCCCCTCAAACTTGTCACCAAAACTTACTTTAGTACTATAACTTTACGTGCATTTAAATACCCCCTTAAATTACTTGTAAGTGAATTTAATATCACCTTAGTGGCTGACGTGGCAAATTACAAAGTTTTAGGCGCGTATAAAGAAAAATTAAAAGAAAAACAAGTGGGTCCCACTTTTGTCATTGTTCAACTACCCCTGTTTCATATCTTCTTTCTCAAATTGTTTCATCTCTCTCTAAAATTCTTGATGGCAATTATGGGCCAACAAATTCAATGTTGCTCAATCATGAAGGACATCACCACCACCCCCTTTTTTCCTCGTTCATCACTGCTCCATAAGAGACTAGGTGCCATGAAATCACCCAATCTCGTCAAAAAATTTCACCACGCCGGCGACCTGAACAGAACGCCGGCCATACTCGTTTCCTCAGCTTTTTTTTTCATTTTATGTGTTCTCATTTTTCCATCAACCAAGGTAAACGGTCTAAAAACCTTCAGATCTGTCAATTTTGAGCCTAATCTAACAAAAATTACTCTGACAATTGCCGTTGAAGCAGTCGCCGGCAGTTGCCGTTGAAGCTCTAGCAACTCCAGCTTCGATGATGATAATATATGTATCGCTTTGTTTCTCTGTTTGACACAATATTCGTCAAATTATTAGAAATGTTGTGTGTGTTAGTTTTCTATCCTAGGCTTGTAATGGAGAAGATGGAGGGATGAAGAAGACGAGTACACAGTGAAAATGAGAACAAAAATATATGGAAGAACAAAAAAAAAATGAAAACTAAAAACAAAAAATGACATGGAAAAAGAAAAAAGAAATGAAAACTAATTTTTTTCACCCTATGACGTGTTGTCAACGTGTCACTGAGGTGGTGCTGATGTGGCGCGCGTGTATATCACCTCCGAACCATGAAATTGGTATTGTATATATAAGGTGTTATTTAATTCACCTGAAAGTTCTTTAAGGGGGTGTTTAAACACCCGTAAAGTTACAATGCTAAAGTGAGTTTTGTGGACAAGTTTGAGGGGGATTTGATGTATTTTCCCTTTACCAAAAAAGGAAAAGTTAGGAAATTTTATTGTACTAAAAATTCAATTCCCGAAAGATCATCCAGTACTTTTGGTTCATACATAAAGCTCCAAAAAATTATATCCTAAAATAATTCAAATATTGTGTTGAACATCCATAATTGAATATATTCATACTATATGGTTCATTGACAGAAAGATAGGTTGAACTTGTCAAAAAGATTGTTTCCATAACATTTTAAGCTACGGCAATTGTTATTGATTACCAAAATGATAGTACCTGAAGATAACTAAATAACACTCACAATGATATTCCTACACTTCAAAAGAGTAGCCCTAAAGGAACTCACATTATTTATCTGATTTCCAAAACATAGAAGAGTGGAAAAACAATCAAAATATCAAAAGTGACGTACCTCCGCAATAAGTGCCTGGAAAGCTCAAGCAACACTCTGGCTGCCATTGTTTCAGCTACTTCAACTGCATTGGATGTCGTCTCTTTTGCAAGGGTGAAAAGGAAATTTATAATAGTGGCAGAGTATACGCGAATAAACCAAACCAAGCAAAAGAAATATTCACTTTTTTTTTCCCGAGTGAAGCTCTGGTATCATATGAAGGACAGAAGGATTCTTCCTTATAATCTTTACCAACAACTCGGTTGTAGTTGCATCAAATGAGAAGCCCCTTCCAACCATTTCCTTCATGAAAGATGTCATTTCACTAATTTTGTTGTACCTGAGAAATCCTTGCACAATAACATTGTAAGTGACATTGTTTGGAAAGCAACCCCTGTCTTCCATTTTTCTGAGAATATCTTTAGCTTCATCAAACAACCCTTTAAGACAAAATCCATTTATCATTACCGTGTATGTTCTAACATTCGGAAGCAATCCAATGAAAGAAAGCTTCTCAAAAATAGCACGAGCTTCCTCGAGTTTACCATTTTTGCACAATCCATTAGTGACAACACTGTAAAATGCAATACTAGTAACTTCTCTCTTACTTTCCAACTTTTTAAAGAGCGACATAGCTTCTTCAACAAGCCCATACATAAAATAACCTTTGAGCAAAACGCTATGAGTGTGTATATCAGGCTCGGGGCCCGTAGATAGCATCTCGGCATAAATTTTTTCCACATCGCCAATTCTTCCAACTGCAAACAAGCCTTGCAAGATAGTAGTGTAGGTAACTATATTAGACTTTAATCCCTTTTGAGAAATTTCACAAAACAATTGCATGGCCTCGGCCAATTTGTTTTTCTTACAGTATCCATTTATTAGTATGTTATAGCTAATAATGTCATGCTCAATGCACTTATCTATCATGATATCAAAAGTTCTCTTTGCTTCATCCAGTTGACCACACAAACAATATCCATCCATTATCGTATTGTAGGTGATTATATCAGGCTCTACACCTTTTCTGACCATGTGTTTCATTAATTCCTCAGCATCTGCAACTTTCCCTTCTTTACATAGTCCATCTATCATTATGTTGAAGGTGCACACATCTGGACAAATATTAAGGTTCACAGCCATCTCAGAGACAAAATTCCTAACCTTTTCCCACTGACCAAGCTTACACATACCATCAATCAATGAATTATACGTGACTACGTTAGGAGAAATTCCTCTCTGCTTCATCTCGTTCAAAAGAGTGATAGCAACATCAAAGTTTCCATCTTTGCAAAGCGCATCTATAACAATGGTGTAGATGAATATGTCAGGCTTAGGAAAAGTGTTTTCCTGTTCCATTAACCGGAGCAAACTTAAAGTCTTCTCCGTATGACCCCCTTTACTAAGCCCATTCATGACGGTTGCATACATGACTTCATCAGGTTCACAAATCTTTTCTCGCACCAATTTTTTGAACAATTCAACGGCATTTTTTACCTTATTTTCAGCAAAGAATCCCCTAATTAGAGTGTTAAAGGCGACAACATTAAATGGAATACCATTCTTGAGGTAAATGGGTAATATAGAAAATGCACATTCAACACGATTCATCAGGCAATAGCTATTAATCACATTACTCAAAATGAATTCGTTAATTGGGATACCCAATTTGCGCATTTCTCGAAAAAGAGAAACAACAGCAGAATAATGCTTCATAATTATGATAGTCTTAAATAATTTAGAAAAATCGACAAGAGAAGGAAGAGGCTTCATTGTAACCATTTGAGTAAAGAGAATTACAGCATCATCTAAACACTTGACATTCTCAAAATTGATGGGTAATCCAATTACATG